TAATAATGACCAGGATGATGATGATAATGATAATGATAATGATAATAATAATAATTGATTAAAACTTCTATAGTGCGGGAATCATAGGGAGATGCTCTCTCGCGCTTTACAATCTTACGGTCAGCAATAATATTATAATTGCGCTTTACAATCAGTAATAATATCATAATATTTACAATTAAAATATAATTCATAAAACTAGGTGAACTCAGAACTAGATACAACTATACGACTAAAGTTGGTAAGCCTTTTAGAATAGGTAAGTTTTAAGAAGTCTTTTAAATGATTGTACATTATCTGCACAGCGGACTGCATTAGGTAATTTATTCCATAGCCCTGGTGCAGCCGCTGTAAAAGATCAACAGGTTTTGACCTTTTTTTTTTTTATCACAAATGATTAAGATAATGTTCATACGAGGGAAATGTAAGTTATTTTTGAAGAACCACGAAATATGTTATAAAACATACCGATAAACTTCTCTCCTTGCGTAAGGTTTATGGTGAAATCATCGCGTAATGATCTCGAAGTATCACAAAATCAGCCATAGATCGTTGGGAATATTATGTTAATGATGATGAAGATGGAAACGAAGTTTATTGAAGTGGTTAGCAATGAGACGTTAACAGGACTTGCGAAGCGAAGTGAAAGAAATCTTACACAAAATATATCTGGTGTACTAACGCATAGATTGGTGAGAAGTGACTGTGGTGCACATTTAAGTAATATGACAATAAATACTTTGAGGTTGGCATACAGAATGCAAGGCTCTCTGTGCATGGTAGAATCGTATCTTGAGCTTGGTACAGAAAGTAACATCAACTGATGGAAGTATCACCACTTCCTCTGGATTGCATGTTACATATATTCTGTGATCCATACCAGGTGCAGCAGTTTGTTAGAATTGATTGATAGTTTGTTAGATTGCTATTGTCCCACCCTCATTCCTAGCATTCTTCGTATTTCTACTCCCTCTCTTGCTTCAGGGAGGTGGGTTTGGGGGAACAAAGGCTGAGTACCAGCAAGCTGTCAGTGAATTCTGGTAAAATGTTGTTCTGTGATCAATTTCAGGTTCAGTAGTTTGTTAGAATAGATCGACAAGTTGCTTTTGCCCCACCCCCATTCCTAGCATTCTTCATATTCCTTTTCCCTCCTTTGCTTCAGGGAGATGGGAGTGAGGGAACAAAGGTGGAATACCAGCAAACTGTCAGTGAATTCTGGTAAAATGTTATTGGTTGGTACTCCTTTATACAAAATGGTGGAAATATGTATACTGTACCACAAAGCTATGGTATCTTGGACATTGACTGCGGCCAGGGCTTCAACTCTTAAAGCTTAAAACCTTTTTTGTGCCTACTGTGACTGTATTTATTAAGAAAAGAATTGCAGTGAAAAAACTGAATTGCGTCTCTTTACAAGTAAGAAATAAGAAATCATCTATAACTACTACTATAATAAAATTACAAGGACGACTACCCTACTCATAGTCTATATCTAGAGACAAATTTTAATTAGGATTTCGGATCCACGTTGCATTGGCTTTTCTCTATAAAGAGATGTGGACTAAAAAAAATAGTGTCTTAGACTCTTACGATTTTTGCGCTTATGAATACCAATCAGTGATGTTGGTCGTTTAGTCGGTGTATATTCCAAGCTCTCTTTACCTCCTGATTGATTTTCCTTTTATCTGATAGTTTGTTAAATTAATTTGATTTTGACCGTATTTCCTGCATTACTTGATTATTTCTGCTTTCCCCTCTTTTTTCATTTGCGTATTAAACTGTTTTGTTGAATTCTTTCACACCCAAAAATTAAATCTTTTTTTTTACTTCATATAGTGCATGTCTTTCTGAGGCATCTGGGATTGGACCAGAGGAGATGGAGGAACTGGAACGAGAGTTAGAGAGCCTCGATATCGGGGAGAAAGGTATTTTACCATTAAATTGCTAATTCTTTTGCTAAAAATGAGTCTGGTATGAAACTCTTTTTGGCCCTAAATGCACTCAGTTAATGATAATACAATTTTCTCAAGTGATTCTTGCGAGAATTTGTGTTCTGACCAGTTTCTATTTCACGGGGGAAATATTTACCAACTGTATTTCAGAGAGCTCGGCCATATATTATGCTTATATGTGACAAGCGTTTTCAACAGTTGGGTTACGTTGTTCCCTTTTTAGATCCGTGGATCGCTGTGAGTTACCAGTGCAACTCAACTTCATCAAGGGTAGCGCAAAGGCCTGGTCCAGACACAGAACTTCCCAAGATGCCTTCAGCCCTCTCATGCCCCAGATGCATCTGAAAATTCATCAACGAGACAGAAAACAAAAAGCCTGAAAGCAAGCTAAGTTATTTTAAGTGGCTTAGCCTCTCTTTAAGCGTGAAGAGAATGTAAGGGGGACAAACGAACATATTTAGATTTATCTTTCAATGCTGTTGTTAGGCTTTTCAGGGCCAACACCCATCCATTCCACCCAAGGGAGGACATCCACCACACAGTAATCTCGTTCGTGGGAAATTAACGTCTCCTACCCCTAACCTTTCCAGGAGACGGGGCCTACGATTTATTCGTCCTTATCCTAAAAGACTAGAATATCTATCCATTTCATTTCTCAAAATCGAACGGACACGCAGAGAAACCTCAAGCTCAACGTTTAATTAAGGGTAGCTTTAATTACCATCCCTCCACTCCCTTTCCAGTTCTCGTCGGGTAAGATCTCGTTCATCTCAGTCTAAAAGTTATTTAAAAAAATTCCAATTGAAGTAGAGTCATAATTAAATGGCCCTTCCCCACAGACCAGACTTATAATATCAAGTTAGACGATCAAACCCTCCCTACCCTAGGTTATTTTCCCCTGGGATATGTAACTATGGGAATAAGTACTCATGTGTCGCTGTTACAACTTTCATTAAGGAGTTTTAAACTATTAAAGAGTGGATTTAAATTGTCCTAAACACATAACTTGTTGATACGGATTTCATTGATATTTCTTAAGACATAAGCGGTTGATGTACCAGTGGGTAAGTTGATGTTTCTTTTCGAACGATACTTGTATGGTTTTACTTTAGCCAAAGACACTATTTAAAGGACAGAACATTTGTGACAGCTCATGTTCCCACCACAGAAAAAGTCCGCAATCAGGTTATAAGTTATTTAATTGTAAATGTTAACTTATTTGTAATCCTTAGTGAATGCAATTGTTGTCGTATATACGCTATTCAAATGAAAAAAAAAAAGATTATTTTTTTATCTTGGAAGTATATTTCATTTTTTCCAAGGTATTTGTACTCTCAGGGTTTCTACCATCTCAGGGAAGACAGAGTATATCTCTAGTTAGGAAGACCGTTATAGTTAACTTGCGTGAAGTGTGATTTGCGTGGAGTGTGACTTGCGTGGAGTGCTCATGTGCTCAGAGACATTTATAAGCACGGAGGATTTGTGTGTAAAGTTTTTGAGCTTTTCGAGATCGGCTTTAGAGTGATTGTGAAAGTTTATTGGCAACCAGCTGGTTAAATATGTTTTATCGGTCCTCACACTGAAAGAATTGTGATGCATTCAACAACAGTGGTGCCCAAACTTAAATAGTGATTCGCGTACCTCCATGAGTAGAAATCCGTTGTTGTCATTTTTCAATACATGCATGGGCTGAAAGGGCATCAATAAGAGCCAAACAATGCAGATGTTGGGTGGCAACTCATTTTCTTTGTCAAATTTTATGCTTGCCACTACTCTTTGACATTTTATTGGCCGACGATGTTATAATTGCATAACGTTATTCTCCTAGGTCCCTCGCGCAAAAATAGAAAACAAGAGAAAGCAGTTCTAAAAGGCGATTCGATGAATCTGGCAACGGTGTGAGCGCGTGCGTTGGTGCTAGGATCATAGTCAACTGATGCACGCTTGCGTATGCTGCATTCTCTCCTCGTTTTACGCGCTACGTTAGAAAATGTTTCTTCATGGAATCCAGGAACGTAAGTCAAATGAAAGTGTGTGCACCGTAACTCGTTCTAAAACCCTAAGCAATTGCCAGTTAAAGAGAAGCGAGTCACTTTGTTTTACTCATTGCTGGTCAGTTGTTTCTTCATAAAGAGTACGTTTGTCGCGTCATAATACCTTACGTCATGTAAAGTTCAAAAGTGTTTTCTAAGTGCCTGGTATACTCAGTACGCGAAAAGAATAAGAGTTTCATATGCTCTCAAGAATTTTAAGAAATGTCAGAGTGGTGATAAAATTTGAGGTAGCAATCTTTTGTGCTTTGCTTTGACTTGTTTCGCTTTGTGGTCATTTTGAGACTGCAGCGACTGCGTAAGTCAGAACGAGATCTGACCGTGAGTTTTTCGCAAGCTTTTTTAAAATTGCTTTGCTACATAGCTATCTTTTCCTTTTCAAATCCACCACTTGCAAGCCCTGAAGCACATCGCAAAAAACTTGGTTTGTTTACAACCTGAATTTTTGTTATACTTTAATGAGCTCTTCATTGCATTTGATCGAGATTTTTAATAGTTTTGTTGCGTAGACTTTGATTGTTACTTTGTGAACAAACATATCTTAAAATTACCTTACAGTTTACAGTGCCAGCACCCTCCTAATTTAGGAAAAAATTGGCGCGAAGAATAATGTCAGAGAAATATGGATCTGAAGGACAGGACGGCAAAGCTGAAGAAAAATACTCCAAGGTAAGTGTATATGAATAGTGGTAGTGGTTCAAGAAGGATCCATAGAAAACGACTTGCAGATGTTTATATTCAAACAAGAGAGTTGATAATCTCGTGATTCTAAGGAAAATTTGAAATATTTTTGGAAAACTATTTTTTGAGAGAGCCGTTGAAGCCGTATTTCGTTATTTAGTTCTTCTCATCCATGTTTAGTCTGCAGTTTCAAGCGAATCTTCCAACGAACTGAAGAGTAATTCTCAATCCGGTAAGAAAATGTTTTTTTTGTTTTTAAAATTAGTTTTATACCTGGGAATTTAATAAGTATCACCGAAAACGCAAGGGACTGAAAATGTTCTTTTCCACTGTCAATTGGAGGACAAAGCGTTAGGTCCTACGACTTTGATGTAAATTCAGCAATTTTAGTAGCCATAGTAACAGCCTTAGACGTAAAAAGAATTCCAAAGCTAAAATAAGAATGGATAGGCACAAGTTGGGAAAAATAAAGCATGAAATACATCGCATTCACGTGAACTTTAAAAGATTTCGCTCACCTTTTTTCGTAAGTCTTTAGAGCGCTCGAAAGTTGTCCTTTTAACTTTTGGTTAATTTAGCTGACAAAGAATGAAAATACGGATATAAAATAAACTGAAATTTCATGACATAACTCAATAGCACGCCTTGAGTATCACGTCTCATTTGTTAAATATTTGGCGAGACCTTATTAGTGTTCCGCCTTACGTTTTTGTTCTTACAACTGAAGACTGACCCTCTAAGCGATGTGCTTTTCTTTTTTCTTATATCTTATTGACAGAGAACTTCACAGCATATGAAACTGATTCAGTGGGAGTGGACCCTAAAGAGAATGAAGAAGTCTGTCACATCTTAAGGTCTGTCCAAGCATTGTGGGTAAAGTGTGAGGTGTATTGTATTCTGCTGTTATGTGAGCGTCTCAATGTGGTTAACGATTGGCCGTAAAAAGGTAAAAGAAATCAGCCGTTAGGCGTAAAACTTGACGAATTTTACCCCATAGTCGTAAAAAAAAAACATAACAGAAAAAATGTGTTTTTAGTAACCGCCACAGAAAGAAATTAACCGTCAGCCGAAGAAGCCATCACCCGATTGAGACCTTCTAACGTGGCTTGTACAGCCAATCTTTGAACAAATAAAACGCGATAATGACCGGGTGTTTTTAGATTCTCCCCAAGATCACCGACACCGGGAATAATTCACAAATAGGTATTTAGAGGTGTTAACTAAATTATGCGCCGTGGCGTGCAGTTGTCACGGCTTATAGATATCACCCTCTGCCTTGTTTTGGTGTGAAAACGGGGTTGTCTTTAGACTGGCTTACGCTGGATCTTAGAATATGCCTGTAAAACGTTTGTATCGATTAGAATAAATTTCTGAAGTTGTTTAAGACAGTGTTCCTCCTCCTTCATAATTCAGTTATATTCCCTAAGCGTATTTTCGGAGGCGGCGCTTCCTAGTATTTTTTCCCTCAGGTGCAGCAGATGATTAGAAAGAAGGTCTGTGGTTCCATTTCTCATGGGCGTTTCAGATTTTTCAAAATTATTTGTCATATTTCCTTATTTACCTTTTTCCATTATAGTGCATGTTTGGTATCCAAGTCATCATCCGCATTTCCTATTCGCCGAGTGTCATCTTTCACAGACCTTAGAGACGTCAAAGCAGAAATCAAGTCCGACCTAAAACAATGCAAAAGTGAAGGAAATATCTCAAGTATTGAGCTAGCTCCCTCACTTGATGGTTCGCAATGGCCTGAAGTCTTATTCAGCAACAATACTGGTCAGCAGCTTCACGCCAGTGAAAAGGAAATCGTAGAAATACAAACGACAAGTGAGGAAACGGTAAGTGGTTATTTATGGTACTGGTGTTAAGGATGCAGTTTGATCGAGCTTCATAAAACCAAAACCTCTGTCATCTCATGGGCAAACCGAAGGATCAGATCAGAATTTTCCTATGTGAGTAAGCCAGTCTCCTCCGTTGGCCGTGGGCTCATCTGTCTCCTCTCGCCAGTACCTACTTGCATACGAATTTGCTCCAGACACGAGAAAGAAAAGAAATAACTGACAGTTACAGAATGATTGGCCTATTTCATTTCAGGTTACACGATGCGAGCCGACGTTAATCACTGAACCTGAAGCAGACGAGGAAGAAGGTAAATCATAGGAGTGAAGAGACAGATTATTACGTCTTAACGAGAAGTATTCTTTAGAAACCACATAGATTCTTTACCTAATATTAAAAAGAGTACAAGAAAGTTTACTTCTTACCGCGTTTTGAGACTCCAAATCATGATAGTAACCTCAGAATATTCCTCGAGTGTCTTTGAATATACCAAAATTTCTAGTGTTTTTAAATATTAAAATATGGACGCTACCATTTTAAAAACAGTGCTGTAACTTGGTGGTACGCCTAAAACCACAACACGAAATTCCATCGTAATAGTTAATATATATATATTTAACAATTATTCCACTCGCACTTTTTGGATATAAGATGATACATAGCCAACGAGGCCTCGTTGGCTCTAATCATCTCATATCCAAAAAGCGCGAGTGGAATAATTGTTTTACTAAAAAAAAAACGCCCCCAAGATATTAGACAAATCTTCTCGACCTTATTTTGTAAGAAGAAACCGAATGTTACAATGTACAGATATTACGCTATGGTATATTGGCTCATATATCATAATAGCTAAGCCAATAAACAGTCTTGAATTGCATTATCCAATGGTCCAGTTTTTAATATATA